ATTGTGAAACCCGTTATCTTACATCTATCAAGCTTATGTAGTTATATTATATTCCGATGGGCAACACATAAAGAAACAATTACTGTAGAGAACAGCCGATATATTTCGTTACCCCTGCCAAAAAATAGCCAAGTATACTTATCTTTCAATGTAGCGGATCGACTGAACATTAAATCTTGTGATGAGAAAAGTGAATTTTCGGTTTATCCTTCGGCTCAGTGACCGGTGGCAGTGAGCTGTACGGCCGGCTAAGTTTAAACCGTTATACAGTACATCATTACTGCTTTCATTCTTTCAGTTCGTTTTGAATATTCGGAATCATTCACAATATTATAAAACTGTATAAGATAGCTGTAGAACTATAAATGCTGTAGAATGAAATAAATATAAAGAAAAGTAAGTTTTCAAATCGCCGGTGTTTGCCGATAAATCGGTAATCGCTACAGAAAAACAGAACAAATTACAGTATTAAAATCACAACAAACCGCGGAAGTGGGACAATTTTTGTATTTTTACTGTAAGACATGTAGAACATGTACGAAATCCATACAGAAGTGTGTGTGTATTCTATACTTTTGAAAGAACTAAATCAGACTTCGGAAAATTTGACCGTATTAAAGCTGCTTTTGGGAATTTAGATTTTAGATCTTCGTTTTACATGTACCCAGACCAGTAAATATTTTTGAGTTTTGAATTTTGTGTATAAATCAACACCAACGCCTCAAAGGCGAAAAGGAGGGCAAGATTGTTAGAATTGCTATTGTAAACATGAGCAGTTTCGAGCATAAACATAAAATTGAAACGAAACAAGTAATTTTTACACATCTGATCACAGGGGGTCCAACTAACAGCTGTGTTATGAATAAAACATATTAATTAAACGTAATATGAATAAAACATCATAACGTAATATTGCACTTACTTGTATAAATCATAAGAGCTTGCATTTTAATACAGTGAATAGCTTCAAAAACTTGCTTCGTTCCAAAGACTTCAAATATGGCGAATAAATTGACAAAACGATAATATTACATGACGTTCCAACGAAAATAACAGAAAGGATTGCGGGCGCGAGCGGAAGGCGAGGGTAATATATATTAATAGAAGGGATGAAACACCGGTAATGCGATCGTGTGATGTGTTCCATAAGTAGCCTGTTCTCTCGGAAAATTCCAAAACGCCTTCTGCCAACTCCAACAACGCCTACGCGCTTAATTAATGAAAATAAACAATGTTTAGCTATACCGGCTAATATGAAATGTTTAAATGTAGCGACCAACGTTTTTTTTTACATTATTTAGTTTTATTATTATTTCGTCATACGTCACGAGAACAGGCTACTTATGGAACACATCTCGCGATAATGGCCAAGAATGCTCGCTGTTATAAATCACATAAATTAGATTGATCAGTGCTTTTTTGGTAATGACTAGGCTTGTTCATGTAAGAGAACATCGACTGAGCCTTAAAAACCCCACAAAAAGCTTAAACGGATAGTCTAGAAGCATTTTAAAAAGTCACGTGATATTTGTTTCATCCCTTCTATTTATTTCTTTCCTCGCCTTTCCGCTCGCGCCCGCAATCCTTTCTGTTATTTTCGTTGGAACGTCATGTAATATTATTGTTTTGTCAATTTATTCGCCATATTTGAAGTCTTTGGAACGAAGCAAGTTTTTGAAGCTATTCACTGTATTAAAATGCAAGCTCTTATGATTTATACAAGTAAGTGCAATATTACGTTATGATGTTTTATTCATATTACGTTTAATTAATATGTTTTATTCATAACACAGCTGTTAGTTGGACCCCCTGTGATCTGATTGACTAAATTCAAGAAGCCATTTAAGTGTACGCGTACTTTGTTACAATTCCGATCAACTCTGCCGTGCAGCACGGCAGAGCCAGAGGCAGAGTAAATTGTAAACAAATTGTAAGCTTGTGAGAATCAAAGTTCAAAACTCAAAAATATTTACTGGGTACATGTAAAACAAAGACCTAAAATCTAAATTCTCAAAAGTAGCTTTAATACTGTCAAATTTTGATTTCGTTGTTTCAAAAGTATAGAATACACACACACTTCTGTTTGGATTTCGTACATGTTCTGCATGTCTTACAGTAAAAATACAAAAATTGTCCCACTTCCGCGGTTTGTTGTGATTTACTGTAATTTGTTCTGTTTTTCTGTAGCGGTTACAGATTTATCGGCAAATACCGCGATAAAACGTAGTTTTCTTTATTTATTTTATTCTACAGCATTTATAGTTCTACAGCTATCTTATACAGTTTTATAATATAATAGTGAATGATTCCGAATATTCAAAACGGATTGAAAGAATGAAAGCAGTAATTATGTATAACGGTTTAAACCGGCGTAGGCCGTACAGCACACTGCCACTGGTCACTGGGACGAAGGATAAACCGAAAATTCACTTCTCTCCATGACAAGCTTTTATAATGTTCAGTCGATCCGCTACATTGAAAGATGAGTACTTGGCTATTTTTTGGCAGGGGTAACGAAATATATCGGCTGTTCTCTAAGTGTTTCTTAATGCGTTGGCCATCGGAATATAATATAACTACATAACTCATAAGCTTGATAGATATGTGACGAGTTTCACAGGCACAATCCTATTTTAAATACTATGGCTTTTGGCAGTTTTGCATCATATGTGCAGTAAAAGCTCCATTTTTCTACTTCCTCAACGTGTAAAACGCGAAAAAACTTTATTAATAAGAACAAAAATTTGTAATAAAAATTTGTAGTAAACAGTGTATTTTATTATAAAGGATTTTCGTTTTTCTACTGCTCCGTAGTTCGTGTGCTCCGTGTGCTCCGTGTGCTCCGTGTGCTCCGTGCTCCGTGTGCTCCGTGCTCCGTGTGCTCCGTACTCCGTGCTCCGTGTGCTCCGTGCTCCGTGTTTTACTAATAGCCATCTAGATGTCGTAGCTTGAGAAGAACATTCTCTACAAGTACAAAATGTCGGTCCGGTTATTTACGCACGCTAATTATTGAAAACGTCGAGAATTGTAACATTGATTAAAATGTTGTAAATTTGTATAATTTCTATTTAATGAACTGTCAAATAAAATTTCAGTAAGTAAGGTCATATAGTATATAGTATATAGTATATAGTATAGTGTCTATGACAAAGTCATAGCCGGAGACTGAATTCGTTGAAACGGCTGTAGCTAAATAAAAATCCCAGGTTTTAGCACAAATGCGTCCAGTCCATAGTCCAGTCCATAATCCAGTCCATAATCCAGTCCATAATCCAGTCCAAAATCCACTCCAAAATCCAGTCCAAAATCCGGTCCAAAATCCGGTCCATAGTCCAGTCCAGTCCATAGTCCAGTCCAGGTTTTAGCACATGCCGGTTAACAATACCGGAAGTATACATGCAAAATACAAACCGATACAAACCATACAAACCAGTTCTGACAACTTTGACTTCAATAATTCAATTATCCACAAATTACCTAAATGGTATCCCTAAAATCCCCAATCTTAACACTGAAAGTCCCACACTTCTGTAAA